ATGGTTTGGAGTGCACTTAAGCAGTCCAATTCTTCATAAACCCCTGTATCCATTTTTTTTAAAAATATTATGCACATAGACTCGGAATATATGCATATCTCAATATATTTTTGGTCTTTCCGAATTAAATCCTTTTCCGATCTGTTCTACATGATTGGCTGACTCACGTGTTTGTTGTGTTTCTTATTTGCCATGTTCAAACAAGCATATAACTGAAAAAGGAAGTGATGCACAATGTCGATCTTTTGCCAGGGATGAGCCAAATCCCCACTTTTTTCGAAAAAAGAAAGCAAAAAAAAAAACAACAAAGAGGAGGTATAGCATTGTTGCAAGGGTCCAAGTCAAGGAGAGTTTTTCTAGTTGTTCTTTTTTTTTTTCTGCTTCTAATATTCTTAACCAGAGAACTGATTTTGTCTCTACTTGCTTCCAGAATATCCTTCTAGTTTGGATGCCGAATATGTGAGGGAGTCTACCAGACAAAAAGCTTAACCCAAGGCAAGAACCACTCAAGTTTCGCCCGCTCCTCAGTATATTACATACTTGAGCTTTGTCGACAGCAAGTTTACTTAATGTAAAACTAAGAATATTATCCACTTTGGAGCCAGAGTCTTCAATCTACTTTCAGTGCCAACTTGGTCCAGGTGATCGTCACAAAGAGTTGCCAATTTTTTAAATATATAAAGTTTTTTTGCCTATTTTTCTATACTATTTAGATCATATATATTAATTTTTATTAATATTTTATATATTTTTCTTTGTATTATTACTTTCATTAAATCAGTTTTCTATAATGTTATTATTATAACATTTCTAATATTAAACAAGTTGTCTCTGTTTGTTAATTCTAATTCTAGTTCTTTACTATTTATTTGATCTAATTTTGCATTTATATTTTCTTTTATAACTTTAATATTATTGACTTTTCTATTTATTTTTGTATTGTTATGTTATTTGTTGTTTGTATTATTTTTCTATACTTCTATATTTATGTACTCAGTATGGTACTTATATGTTTGTTTTTGTTTATACTTATATATTTCTGTTTAGTTACTTTAATATATATGCCTTTGTTTATTTTTCTGATTTTGTGTAATTAATGAATCTGCAAAAACATAATTAAGATGGATTCCTATTTTTTTAAAAAAAACTTTTGTAATTTCATTGAAAATTTTTGTTTATTTGCTATTATCTGCTACTGCACTAGTTTACTTTTTGCTTTTCAAATTGCTTACCTGTATTTTATGAACTTTTATTTTTTTTTTAATGCTCTAACTGTTATTTACTAATACTTTTCTATATTATTTTATATTTTTGCTTTCTGTAAAATTTGATTAAGGAATTTATAGGAGAGAGTTAATATATATATATTTTTTTAACATTAAGTTTTTTTATCTTTACATATATAATATAATATATTTTATTAAAGATTTTATTATTTTATATATTATAATTTTTAAAATTTTTAAATTATAGTTTTAAGTTTTTAGATTATAATTTTAAAATTTTAAGTTTTAGAATTTTGGATTTTTTTTAAAAAAACAAAACTAGTTTAGATTAAAGTTTTCTAAAACTAGTTTTGAGTAAGTTTCTTTTGAATATTATTTTATATTTTGTATACTTTATAAGATAGAATTAAAAATTTAAACCAAATAAAATAATAAATAATACTAAGTAAACTTATATAGTTTAAAAAACATTTAAAATCAATAGTTTTTATATTGTAACTGAATATCAAAAGTTTAATATAAAATTCAGAAGTTTATAATCCTAATGTATATAATTATAAAAACAAAATCCTCAAATACTAAAATCTTGCAAATACCAAATCTTAAATACTAAAATCTCAATAAGTACAAAATCCAGAAATTCAAAATTCCAACTACTAACTCTAATATTTTCTGTATTTTTGTATTTAAATTTATAATATTTTATTATCAGGATTTTATACTATTGGAATTTTGAACAATTAAAATTTTGTATACGTATTTGAACTTTTAGTATTTTAAGATTTTGTTATTGGGATTATGTATAACTTTATTATTGTGAGCATTAAGATTTTGCATAACTCCCAAATGGCAGAACCAATCATATTAATAAATGCTTTATTTAATTAGGTGACAATCAATTCCTGAAAACAGTTTAAGTTTAAAGAACTTTTTTCAAGATTATTTTAATAATTTAATAAATAAAATTGAATATAAAATATTAACTTTCTTTTTATTATATAGTATCCTATTTCTAAAATTTCTTTATAACAACATCAGACAAGAGACTGTCCTATATCATTGCAGTATTGTAATATTTTAACACAATAACATTATGGTATCTAGATATGTACAATCATTATTGTATTTTGACATAGTGACATTACAGTTATGACACTATGGCATTACAGTTACGGTATTACGAAATTATGATTACGGCATTATGGTTACGGTATTACGGCTCAAAGAAATTATGGCAAATAATACGGCACATGCAGTAACTGTATTAATTTGCCAAATGAATTCTACCACCAACTACGTATACATATTGATATACTCATTAATTAGTAAACTGCGCATTTATACTCCGACGTACACTAAATAGATTCACCTTAAATGTATTACAGCATTATTAAGAAGATAGCTGCGCAACGTTGTCACACAAACCAGGAACGGAAGATGTGAAGAATCCCGGTATTTCATTTAGCAAATATATTGATTGTTGCACTATTGGGCATGTGTAGTGATGTGCTATATATGCACTATGTACTATATGTAGCAGAATACACAAAGTCACCAGGTTTATCATCCAATCAGATCCAAGATTTTGTACACTTCATTTAACTTGCATGTAAACATTGTACGTTGTACATAAGTAGATGCGCAACGCACTTGCGCAAAACAAGGAACGGGAGAAATCTATGCAGACATCGTTTAAGTCACAGGAAACCATATACTTCCATTCCTGGTATAAGAAAATGACTCTTTATAAAAGAAGTCAATAGTACTTGCAATCTGAATATTGGTTTAAATTTCAATGACCGAGCCTAAAAACCTATTGATGAAGTCAATGTCTGACTGCTATATAGTTGGTTAGTTAGCGTCACTCAGTTCCAATGAATCCGACCCTAAATTCTGGGGCCCTGCAAAAAACATTAAAATCTATGAACCATAATTTAGCGTATTTAGAAATGACCGACAAATTCTTTCGATAAAGTCTTTGACGATCAGTGATTATCATTTTATCAGCCCGATAAAATTTTGATGAATAATATGAAAATTACCAAATATTTAGCATTGAGTCCTTTAAATTTATATTGGGTCACTAATTTTTGTGCCTAAAAAACTTATTTTTACTATCGTTTGTTATAGCATCTTCGATTTTTACAGATGTATGCGCTCATTTATGTTTTTTTTTAAAAAAATATTGACTGATGAATAAGTCACGCGGACCAATCAATTCCAAGATTTTGCGTACAGAGCCATTTGTTCCTGGTACCTACCTTTTAAAGTATTGTTCGGGGTGCTACACAAAGTCATATGCTGAGAATTGTACACGCATATTAACTTGCCTGTGAACCATATACTACGTTGTACAAACTCCGTTCCTGGTACAAATAATTAACTTATTAACACAAAATCCGTGTTAGTGCATCTAGAAATTATGGACACCTATATGAATGCACCATTAACGAGAGCAACAAGGTCCCATTTCTGTATTGGTATTCCATATTATGAATTTGCAATGAAAAACTTCTCGAAAAAAAGCCTAAGGCCGTATGTTAGCCTTATATTATTGATATTAATAATTTATAGCGGAATATTCCTTTTTCAAGAGTTTTGTTACTACTCACCTAATTTCAATAATCTAAGTCGTTCAAATCTCACAACCCTTGGCTTTAGTCATATTTATGTTGTTAATCTTGAGTATAGAATAGATAGACGTAGAAAAATGGAAACTTTAGGAAATTATCTTGGTCTAGATTTGGATATTTTTAAAGCAGTTAATAAGTATGATCATGTTGCGCTTAGAAGACTTAATAAAAGTAATTTAGGCTCAGGTGTTAAGGCTTGCTATCTAAGTCACTATACAATATTCAATTTAATTATTGAAAATAACTATGAAAATGCTTTAATTTTTGAAGACGACGTAGATATGGAACTTAATATTACCGATATTATGACTGAAGTTCATCGTAATTTACCACATAATTGGGATATGCTGTACCTTGGTCATTGTAATGAGTGGGGAAGCAACTATCTCAAAACCAATTTAACCGTTCACGCACTTCATACAACGGGACATCCCCAGTGTACACACTCTTATGCTGTTTCGGCTAAAGGTGCTAGAAAGTTAGTAGAAAAACTTAACATAGATAACCCGAAAGATCATATTGATGTGGATATGCCTGCTCTTATTATGAATAAAGAAATTATTAGCTATTCAATTCATCCGCAGATTGTTGTGCAGTTTAAAGGTGTGAATGATTATTCAGATGTTTCACCTCAATGGGAGGCAGGTGAACCCTACCCTTTAATGAACTCTACCATGCATTTTCTCGGATACGATCAAGATATTCCAGATTCATAGATATTTTATTATATTTCTTACAATAATGTTATAATTTAGTCAACAATTTACCATTCTAATATATGTATTACATGTTTGAAGAGATATTAATTAGCATAGAATTTATAGTAAATGTATAAATTGAATTAGAGAATATAATTTTGACTTTTTTTAATTAAATAATCGGTTAATCACTTGTGCTGACGGGAGAAAAGAAATTAAAAAAAAACAACCATCAATTATTAAGTTATTTAAAATTTTTTTTTAAAGTTACTTGTTACCAGGAATGGTAAATACCTGAAATAACCAAAACGATAAATGACTGGTTGAAGATAATTTAGCATGTGTTAATTAATATTCTAGTATCTTTAATCAATCAGAGTTAATTGCCAAATGTATTAATTTTTATAAAATTATATAATACCAGGAACGGAGTGATTAAATCACGAAGTATATAGCTTATACGATGTTTGAAATGGTATCCGTCCGTTCGCGTGACTTATTCATCAAGTTTTGGTTATTTTTCGCATGAATTCGTCACGCATATAGATCAACAGATATACACGTGCATTCGGATCTATTTACCTTGATATTTAACATTTTTTTATTGGGTTGATTAAATGATAATCACTGATCGTCAAAGACAATAGTAAAATAATTTTCGGATAACCTGACAACCAGATAATTTATTACATGATGCCTTGTAAAGTTTTGTTTACTTTGGTGAATGCAAGTCGATTACCTATAGCGTATATCAAATTCTTCATAATATATTAATGAAATACTAGGTCAGCTCTTGTTTGTACGTTACTTAGACTATTTGTTAACTATTATATTTGTTTTCGTTTCTGGTTTCTAGCGTCACTACGTCGCGCAGCTACCTTATTCTGTAAAGAACTTACAGACTGTATTGACAATTTTTGGATTAGTTAGATTTTGCATTTGTTAGAGTATTTACTTGCAGGTAATATACTGTAAAAAAAAAAATTTCTAGAGAACTTACTGTCACGGGGTTATACAGTTTCGTTCCTGCAATCTAACTCAAACGTTTGCTACGACCTATTAACTCGCTTGGCACCGGAAATAACACTATGCGCGCTTTTTAAGGTGAGTTGCGCACACAACCACGTTCCTTTTATTCGTTATTAATCTAGAGACTGATCCTGTCTCTTTATCCTTTACTTCCTATTATATAAAATTTTATTACATACTTTTTTGTATAACATCTGTATTTTGTTAATAAAATAAACTTTCTTTGTGCAATGCTTACTTCTTAATAAAACTACTTAATTTCTGCTTACTGGAACCTTTAACTCACTATCATCCAACTATCTAGGTACACTTGATTTTACTTTCCAATTTTCTATACTTTATATGATTTCATCTATTGATAGTTCAATTTTTGGTCATATTTCAATACCAAGTCTTCATTCAAATCTTTTCACTTTACCTTTTGATTATGTATTTCTTTCTTCTTTGTACAATTTCATTCTTTTTCAATTGTGCATTTTTTAAATCTTCTGTTATTTCTTTTATTTATCTTATATAATATTTTAAAACCTTATTTGTTGTTTATTTATTTATATAATGTATGCTTGGTAATTTTTAGCATTAGTTGAATCAGAATTATTGCATCTCTTCCATAGACTAATCTGAATAATGAATATCCTAAATCATTAACTGTAATATTAATAGTTTAAATTGTAATTGTACATATTTATATCATTTTTTTGTTTTTTAACATATATTTTCTTTATAATTTTGTTAACTTTTATACAGCTTATTCACATATCCATTTGCTTTTATGTAATGATTTGTTACAAATCTATAATTAATATATAAGTATTATTAGTTAAGAATGTTAAAAAAGAAAATATTAGATGGTTGCAAACAAAATAGTTAGCAAGATTATTGAATAGGTCATCTTGATGTGCAGTAACTTTGTAAAAAGTAAGCTGAATATTATATAAGTTAATAAAGTTGATGAGAGTGTGTTAAATAGAGAAGTATGAAGTATAAATATGAGAAAGTTTAAATGCTAATAAGCAAATACTATAACATTTAAAGACTACTAATTGTGAGTTAGTAAATATATAAACAGAGCAGTTTTTAGAATCAATAATGATTGCTAAAAGGATAGCAAGAATTTTAGTTTTAAAGAAATATGGTCAAAGTTTAAATTGTACTTGAAAAAAATAAGAAGTTGTAGAGTAAACTACTTGAACCCAAACTATACTTATAGAGCATTGGTAGGTACCAAGGTTAATAACAGAACTATTAGTATAAAATGAGATAGTGAATAGATTATGATTGAAGTTAGCAATAGTCTGTAGACTATTAGTAAATTAGCTTAATTGAAAGATACAAGGCAGTAGTTGTAAGTTGATTGTTAATGAAAGAGAAGATAGAATATATAGAGAATGTTATATAGTTACAGAATATGCAATATCAAAAAAGTTGGTATGTAGATTAAGAGTTTTATTAAAATTAATATAACAAAGCAGTTTGGTAGTCAAGTTTGTAGAAATAAAAAAAGTGCATTTGTTGATAATTAAATTGGAATTATGATAACATCTAGGACATATTACAGTAGTAGAAGGTAAAGTAAAATAAAGGTTTGAAACTGAGTTTAGAATGAGCAGTGCTAGTAAGTAATAAGAATAAAACCTGTAGAGCTATTGTGCCTTCTAATCTTATTAATAATTATTTGATTATTAAGAACAGTAAGTAGTTAAGATTTGGTATTAGAAATAAAACGATCAATAGTATAAGAGAAGTAGTTTGCTTAAGATAAGTTAAAGTAATCATATAAAGTATATTGATAAGAATGACTAGTAGTAATATACTCAAGAATAATGAACTATTAAGATATAACATCTTTAAGGAGTTTGTATAGTTTTGAAGAAATATGTTGCCAATATAATAGGTATAAATTATCATATATAATAAGTTAATCAATAAAGAGAAGTTTGTGATATCTAAGTTGTTTTTTGAAAACAGTATATTTAGAATAAGAAGAAAGAAGAGATTTAAAAGAGATAGTTCTATTATTTAAAGTATATAGAATATTGTAAGTTGGATTAGTAAAAAATATTTAGCCAATATGCTTAATAAGCTAAATTATTTTAAAGTTTGTAGTTAGATGATTGAAATCTTCAATAATTGGATTTGTATATAAAAAAATGTTGGTAGAAGACTAAAAATTGTTTTGTAATTGTTGATTATAAATATAAGTAAATGTTCCTAATAGATCAGAATTATTAAGTTTTTTAAGAATATTAAAAATGTGATATTGTAATTGAATATCCAAATATGTTTAATATTGTAAATTTGGAAATATAAAAGAGTGTTAGAGGGTATTCTAATAAAAAGTTTTGTTTAATTTTTGTATAAAAATTGTAAATTAAAATAATATAACAGTTTTAATACAATTATAAGCATCTATTTATATAATTTTGGTAAATAATTTTTAATAAACATATAATAATTTTGTTTAAAAAACAAAACAAATTTATATTTTATTTTTATATTTTTGTTTTACATATATATAAAATGGACTTAATTAGGCATTGCAATCCTGCAATGTACTTATACATCGCATATTAATAATTGGCCAATTAAATTTCTATATCAGGTGTAATGTAGCATAATCAAGAAGATTCAAACAAACATTCACTTTGACAAAAGTTACTTATAACTCAAATTTTCATATATGAAACTATCTTTCATACTTTAACAAAAAAAATTCCTTGAAAATTTTTACTATAAATCCATTCTATTTATTGCATCTAATCCTATATAACCCTAACCCTAACTAAACAAAAAACTAGTTTATTTTAGTTGTTAAACTATAATTTGTAAATATATGCGATGTATAAGCACCTTGCAGTATGCAACATATACATTTATTCTATAAAAATTATGTGTTAATTTTGTAATAAATATTTACTATATATGTTATATTAGATCTAAATAAGTATTAAAATATAAATCTATAATCTTAAAATATAATATATATTAAAATAAAAATATAATTAAATATAAATAAATGCTAATTAAAAGCTTTTGGCCTATAGATTATAACAGTCAGACCCAATGTACAGAGCAAACTTTGGTACCTTGCATAGCAGTTAGAGCTGAGCATACAGTGATCGACCTTGTAAAAAACAATCTCAGAAGATCATTCTTAACATTTTTAAGCCCTATAATCTTTATACATGTTTCAACAAATTTCTTCTTTATTACAACTTACTACTTCTTTCTCATGATCAAACAATTCAATCTCTTATACAACATATTGACAAATATAATCATAATAACACTGTCTCTAGTATTACTTTCTTTGTTAGCAATACTTATGATGAAATCTATATATATCTTCCAAATGACCCCCTCTTACCTAATCATACTGTTATCCATTCTTATCTTCTTCCTATTTTTTACAACCTTCCTCTTAGATCAAATCCCTCTAATCCTACTTTCATCTTACTTGATTTATTTCTAAACAGTCATACTACACCACAAGTACCCATATTCACACAAACTTTACGTGAACTTCACTTAAACATTTGTATACACAATGTTAGAGATTATAATACAGTAACTAAAAGAGAAACTTAGCAAAATTATTGTCTTTGCAATAATATCCATATCTCTTGTATTACTGAAACCAAAATTACTAACAGTACTAATCTTCAATTTTACAATAACAACTTATTTATCTACTTCTGGGCCAATTCAGAAAGTTCAGCAGAAGGCGCTGCCATTATGATCCAAAAACACTTACAACAATATATATACAACTGCAAAACACACCCTGATGAAGCAATTGCTTTAGATTTATTTTTCAAAAGTGCAATCAAACTTCAAATTATAGCTGTCTACCTTTCTTCTACTGATATGCAAAAACATAACAATACACAAAATACTGTTATCACATGGATCTAACAAGCTCTTTAACACAACCTTCATTCAATAATACTTGAAGACTTTAACACATATAATAACATCTGCAGCTCTTC